TCTCTCTCTCTCTCTCTCTCTCTCTCTCTCTCTCTCTCTCTCTCTCTCTCTCTCTCTCTTTTCTACTCCTCCCTTTCCCTCCCTCTTCGCCTTGCCCTCTCTCTTCCCCTCACTTGGCATATGACTAACCCTTCTCCCCTCACTTGGTACATTGCCAGGGTGCGAAAGGTAAGAAGGGATCAGACCTCACTTGGTGGAGAAAGAGGGCAAGGGGAGGGTAGCCGGTCCCTTGCGCCACCAAGAAGGCAAAGGAAGGACGGTTGAGAAAGTGGGAAAAAGAGGCGGAATCCGAGAGGGAGTATAAGTGAAAGCAAGGTCAGTTTGACTCAACCATTTCCCCTGCTGCATGACTATGAGAAGAGGATGGGCTGATTGAGCAAAGAAAAGAGAACAAAGAATAGCCAAAGAGTTTGAAAAGATAGGCATGTGGGAAGGGCTATGTGTTGACCCCCAACGGGGGATTGTATGGAGTTTTGCTTTGTGTGGGATTGTGCAGGTAAGTGAAGGCTAAAGATGCGTTGAGCGGGATAGGGTCGGGAGGAACGGGGCATCAGAATGAAAAGGGAAGAGGGACAAAGGGGTTACGGGACCTTTAGCATAAAACCAACCCATGAGAATGACCTTTGCGTTTGAGATTTGGAGTATAAATGAGGGAATGGGGTACAATCTTGCCAAGAGAAATGTGAAGTTATGTGTGCATGCATATAAATGCCCTGAAAAAACTAAGGGGCCTATCGTGATAAGGTTGAATGTGAATTGTGAGACCCGATGGGTGCGTAAAGGCAAGGGGGAGGACGGCTTCGCCACATTTCGATGACACCGTAGGAAAACAATGCTTAGGGAAATGGTGCGCGGCCTAAGGATGACGCTTAGCCTGCGCACAAAGGAAGAAAACTTTCAAGGAACCCCTGGACTGCCTGCGTATTGGAAGGAGCAATTGCTTGAAAACACAACCAAGAAGCAAAAAAAATCAACGTTGACCGAATGACCAGCGAGATTGCCACCCGGCGTGAGGGCTGAGCTATCCCCAGTGTCAAAGCTCTCTCGCGCGATGGCCCACCCCCATCCATCTCAAAGCACTAGGTGGGGGTGACCCCGGGACGAATGGCCCGCGCCTTGAGCATGAGCGTGGGCGGGCCGAGCCAACTGGGACCCGCAGTGGGGTCGACTAAGGCTCGAAAGTCTACCTGGGTCTGGCCCTACACCGTCTCGATGATGAAAGGCTTTTCCTCAGTCCCTTCATAGTTAGGCGCCCCCAATACTAATCCTCCTTCCTTGAATTTCCCTTTCATCTAGGTCACCGCTTCTTCTTGATCTTCACCCCAAACCCATTCCTGATCCTGACGCACCAGTTTCCTTAAATGCTCGGTCTTAGCGGCAAAGTCCTTCACAAAACTCCTCCAAAATCCACAGGTGCCAAGAAAACTTCTCACATCCGTTATGGAGTGAAAAGGCACTGGCCACTCTAAGATTTTGTCTGTATTTTTCACATCTGGCCTTCGACCGCTCTCATTACAGACAAAACCTAGAATGGTAGCTTCTTTCATGTAGTGCTTGGATTTTGGACCACTTGCAGTAAGGTTGTACTCCTCTAACAGGCTCAAGACCTGATCGAGGTCCTGGATATGTTTCTTGACAAAACGCCTTACCCCGGGCATTACTTCGTCCTCCTCTTTCTCTTTTGGGCCTTTGACCGCCAAGTCATCAATATAGGGTTGAGTGATGTGTGGACTGACCGTTTGCATGGCCCTGATCATGTGTCGTTGCACCATTGCCATTGCATTAGTCCAACCTTGAGGGGCCACATTCATATGAATCAGTCCCCTTGGCGTGTGCATTGCTGTTACTGGCCTATCCGGCGGGTATACAGGAAACTGGTCATACCCAGAATAGAGGTCTATGAGTGAAATTATAGACCTCCCTGCGCATGATTCTGACAACGCATTTGCGTTTGGCAAGCCTCCCGCGTCCCGCACTGTCACCGCATTCAACCGTTGCAAGTCTTGCACCCATCGCAGCGTCCCATTTGGCTTAATAAAGCAGAACCAAGGGGATGCATACAGTCCGCTAGAGTAGTCAGCAACATGTGTGCGCATCTTGCCATCTAGATAGTCCACCACCATCTTCTCCTCGTCAGGATTCGGATACCTCACGCCCCTTAGATTCCAAGGTTCATGTGGGACGGTATGGATTCGACTCATTGAAACCTTGTCCACATCCAGCCTTCCACGCTGATCATCATTAAAGGCGTACGCGCGATGCCTCTTCTTTATCAACTGCACCATGAAGGCCTTCTCTTGGGGTGAAAGGAAACCCGATTCTCCAACTATCAGCTTCCCTTCATTTTCCTCGTTGATACGACACGGATCATTTAGCGCCTGCTCTCGCGTACGCCGTATCGACCCTCGTTCCCGCTCGTAATAAACCTCCTCATCTTCTGTAACGAGCATGGGAACAGGGCGGCACTTCTTATCTACCATCTTGTACCGCCTTTGGGCGCCCTGCTTAAGCCGTCCCCTAAAAAAAGTTGGTTTGTTGTTTGTGCCTACGCCATCGCAGGGCCCCCCCTTCCTCCGGGAAGCCGATAGATACCCCACTTCCCCCACCTGAGGGTTTTCCAAGACTTGCTCCCGCAGCGCCTTAATCGCCTCTGGATCTGCCATCTCATGTGCCGCCACGATCTCCATAGCCTTATTTACATCTGTAAGAGTTAGTGACAGCACCTCCGCCCCACCTTCCTCCTTGGGTTCTTCCCAAAGTCTCCGCCGCTCATTTTCTGACTCTATAAAAGTGAATGAGCCGGAATTAGGCCTATTCCGCTCGCTCCCTGGCCCCGTGTTCCGGCAGGTGATAACTTCGTAGTTCCCTCAGGCCGGATCACTCAGGAGTAATATCATCGTTCCATCGTGCTTATTGAAGATCAAGGTCTCCGTCCTGCACATGAACGATCTACCCAGGAGGATAGGATGATCGACGTCTGGCATGACGAAGAAAGAGGTCCTTGCCCGCACCTTGCCCATCTCTATAATGACATTGGATGCCGTGCCACAAAAAACTGCCTTGCAATTAGCCCCGTGCAGTACGCCATGATCCGCACGGTCAATCTCCAGACCGAGCATGAGAGCATCCCTTTCTCTGATGATGTTTATCTCGGCGCCCGTATCCATCATCGCAACACTTTTTTTCTCTTTCACCACCAAATCCACCAACCCGCATGTTGCACGCTTCTTGGGGCGGACGCCAGAACGTCCTTTAGGTTCATAAGGTCATTATGACCTTCGAGGAGCCTATCCACCATTCTCTCTACATCAAAGCCTTCTTCTAGCCTGACTGCGTACTTCCTTTTCTTTGGCGTGCCGTCCTGCTGACCTGGATCAGCCTCCTCCTGGATTCCTCTCCTTTGGGCCCTTAATTCCGTCTGTCGATCCCCCTCTTGACGGAGCCTCTCGTCCTCCGTATCATCATCCTCCTCTTCTTCTTCCTCCGGGACCTCAACCACTTCTTTCCTACGCTCAGGCTCAGGTCTCCTTCGAGGAGGTGCCTGACTCGGCGCCTGACTTGGCGCCTGACTAGGACCAGCCTTACTTTGGCTCCTGGTTTGTGCTGCTTGCGGTGCCCGTCCATAGGAGGCCTGAATGTCATTCCTGACCTAGGGCCCGACCCTGCGGTCGCGACCACGGGATAGCTTTGCTGCCCCGATGCCGGTCCTGGGCCGAACTCATAGAGGAAGACATTTGGAAGGTCGGCCTCCCATCCTTGAACTTCATCACACAATTCCTTTACCCTTTGCTGGTACCTTCCCAATTTTCCCAGCAAGTCTTGTGGGGAGTCCTCGTCATCCGACTCAACGACTATTGGCTCTTCTTTTATAGTCCCAGCCTTTAGTCGCTGGGTCACCTCCTCACTCTCCCCGTGACCTCTTCAATTATCACGAGCGAGTCCTCCCTCTCTTGCCATAGCCTGAACATTGTCGGAGGCGCCGGCCCTGCCGCTGCCCGCCTTTGAGCTTCCAGTCTAACCCCACCTGGGATCTTTGGGTCAATCTACTTCCCAAATTTATCATATATGTCCCCATCCATATTTGTGGAGATTAGGCCCACAAGCTCGTCGTCCCGCCGCTGCTGGCAAAACCGAATGGTGTGGCCCACAACGCCACAATGCCGGCAGGTGGCACTTCGCCAATCAAAGCGGGGCCTCCCATACCCTTGACCCCCTCTTGACTGCCCTGTTTGCCTTGGCTCTGGCTTCCTTTGCCATTCCACCCACCACCACGTCCCCCGCCATTCCGTCCTCGGCCGCCACCCCCTCGACCTCCTTGTCCCCGACCACCATTGCCTTGCCCTCCTTGCCCTTGAGCTCCTCCTCCTGCCACGCTAGCCTGCGAAGCTTGCTGCGAGGTAGGAGGCTGGGCCGCGAACTGACCCTGGGCTGCTGGGAAACTTGGCGGCCCTCCGCTCGCTGATGGGCCCAGATATGGGACCATCTGTCATGAATGGGCTTGGCCCGTTCCGCACGAGTTGCAGTGGTTACAGCTAGGCCAGGGTGCCATTTGACAATACGGCACCCAATGTCCATAGGCTGGTGGCGGCCCCATCTGCGAGGGCCCGACCGACATATGTGTCGTTGTGACGGCAGCCGGTGGCGCAGCGATCGCTTGCAGGATCTGTCCCTTCCCCGAGCCTTTACCTCCCAGCAACAAGTTACGTTGCTTGCGCTGGGCCTTGGTAAGAACTTGTGATCCCGTCTCCTCCTTTCCGTAGTCCTCCTGCCTGGTACCTTCATCCCCTGCCTCTTTTCCCCGACTTTGGACTACGGTCACCACCTTCTTCTGTACCCCGCGTCCTGGCCATAGCCTAGTTTCGCGAGCACGTTGGTAACGATCCTCTTTACCCCCGGGGTCCCAGATGCGGTAGCATCCCTTTCCTTCCTCTTCCTCCTCTGCAAGCGCATCTGGTGCTGCTCCACTTGGTCCAGGCTCCCGTCCTCTACTCCCTTGTCAATAGTGGCCCAGGTGAGCTTCGCATTGCACACTCCATGGCTCGTCAATTCGGAGGCTTCTGACGCCGTGAGCAATCCCAAAAAAATGGCACATTGCGCCTCTTCCGAGATCCCATGAACTTTCCTCGCCCTTTTCTTAAATTCCTGTACAAACGCCCCTATCATAGTGAAATCATCCTTGTTCATGGCCTCGAGGTCCGCGGTGGTTAGCAACCCATCGCCCAACCGATACTTACGCTGCATGCCCTCTCTGAACCTTGCCCAGCTACCAAGGGGGGCATCCACAACCTTTCCCACTTCTTGATGATGCCCATGAAGTACATATTTCAAAATTCGCTGGAACTTCACCTCGTCTGACAAGCCCACCATCGCTTCTCCACTGAAGTGGAAGGTATCAATTTTCGGGACATTGCTTGATGTCTTCTCATGCCTATCAATGGTCGCACTAAGGTCCTCCAATGTCAGGACCCTTCCCGCACCATCCACTATGTCACTGGGCTCCGGCATCTTGATAGACGTCTCTTTTCAACTTCCTGTACGAGAAAACAAACACTCATCTACTCAATGTGCTACCCCAACGAGATCTCTACCGTACGTCCTACCTAGTCCACCCCCCCAGGCTGTCTATCTGAACTAGGTAGGGTTCTCCTTCATAGTTCTTTTTAAGCTGAGCAGACCACTAACCTGTTCAAGAGTCACTAGATTTTCTCATTCATACTTAGTCATATACAAATCAATACCCAGTCTCATTCTTTCTTCCTATGCCTATTTCCATCTCATTCTCTTACTCGGATGTCGTTCCACCAGGGACAACGGTAGGCTTCCGTTATCCCCGGCAACGTCGCCACCTGTCGAGCCATCGGTCCGGCACCGCACAAGGCAACGCGGGACCCTCCCGGCCGCGTCACGCAGGAGTTGGTTTGAATCCTCGTCGCGAATGTACATGGAGCTTCCGCAAGCCGCTCCGGCCGAGTGCGCCAGCCATACCTCTCGCGAGCCCCTACGACAGGACAGGGCCTACGCGAGGCACGACTTACCTCCACCTTACGGGAGCTGTCACCTCCCTTCGGTGGGCGTATCCCCGCCGAGCTACCAGTCCACAGTACAAAATCTGATCAGTTGCTATCGTAGAGGTGGACCAGCCGAGGGCGTTTCTCGTTCTCTGTAGCATAGGGGGTACGTGGGGTATTACGCCTCTATCGGACCCGTACGTGAACCGATATCTTGGGGGGCTGAAGTCCCAAGGGCGATTCGTCGCCGGTCGACTAGGACGTATCCCACTCACCACGCGCACACTACTCTACAAACAAAAAAATAAAACACACACACTCACACGCACATCAAACAACGCGACAACACTCCTAGTCCCTTAGTAGTCGTCCCATAACTCTTCGATGCGGGGATCGGACAGGCATCACGCGCGAGACTTAGTATAAAATCGCACGGATGCAGGGCCTACTCATATCGACTCGCAATGCAAGCAGTCGCAGTCATGGGGTACTATGTAGTACCCATACTCATGTGGTCCTCGTTAATCTCGAGGGTCGCATTCGACCCTCAAATGTCGACTGACACGCGCCTTGAGGGTTAATCTCTCGACGTTGGACAACCGCCAAGTGCGGTTGAACAACACCCTCTTCTGCACCCTGCGGAGAGTGGGTGGTACACAGGTTCGTACCTGTGGTAGCAATCGTCTCTTATCGCCCTGGAGACCAGCTCCGTCATCTAGGGCCTGGAAAAGAGACAAGGGGTTTGACTTTGACGGCTGTCACGGACTACAACGTCCAACCATAATAACTCTAAAAAGCAAAACTAGGTCGAAGGCCTCCCTATCCCAAAAATCACTACCTCGGGTAACTTTTTCGCTTGGCACCAGTGACCTATACCGATCCTGGACACTCGTGTGTATGTATGAATCCCTTGATCCCATAACTCTAGACACTAGGACGACGAAACGTCGCGCGCAAGACTTTGATATAAAGTTGTGGAGTTGCAAGCATTTCTTACATCAACCGGCGATGCTAGTCATACGCGGTAATCGCAGCTTCGCCCTCTCGATATTGAATGGCTGAAGGAATATATTGTGAGGGGCCTTCACGATATGGGACGGCTAAAGGACATGCCGTTCAGCCCTCGCGACATTTCTGCCCTCAGGGTTGGGTGTCTCGACGGGCAGGGCGGATAGGCTCTACGCGAGGGAAGACCCCTTCTCTGCAGAGTCTAGGGCTTGGGATGTCCTGGACAAGGACCTTGAACCCCGGCCCAGGACCAACGTCCGACTAAGAATTCAAAAAAAGCATACAATCTAGAGGAGGGGGGTTTTCTGCCAACCTCAGCCCCTGTTTAACCCTTAATACGTTGGCCCTTTGGGCCAGGCGGACTTCCAACATAGATACACACACACACACACACACACACACACACACACATATATATATATATGACGATATATATATATATATACAAGAGGGGATAAGTATGTGACGATCACTTCTCACAATCGAAGTGGGGCTCCTCACAACCATATGTATATGTGTGATCGCAGACAATCAAATCCAAAATCTGAACCATAGACCATACATGCAATCACGTCAAAGAATCAAACAAGATCCACACACTACACGGAGTCAACCCCAACCACTCCCCGCACTCATACCCCTGTCCACCCAACCATAATTAAATACTTAGCAACTTTGTTAAATG